AGTCTGGACAGATTAATGAGGGGGGCGGGGCCGCCCCGCCCCGCCCCGCGCGCGGGCGCACGCGTCGTGCACGCGGGCGGATGCATGGGGCCTCGGCGCTGGGGCGCGCACGATGGAAGCTTCGAGGCCGGCGGGAAGGCGGTATGCGCGCGGGGGAACGCTCCTCTTGGCGGCGCGGGGGGCGAGGGTGCGGCGCGTGCCCAGGGCGGGGGCCGCCGCCGGCAATTATGAAGCGGGGCACGCGGCGGCGGCGCGGACGCACAGCCCCGCACGTACGGCGAAGCAAGCGGCCCGACCGGCGCGCGCACACACTAGTTGAAAAAAGAGTCAGGCAGCGGTAACGGGTCGCGGTGCCGCTTGCGCGCGCCCCTTGGCCACACCAGGGGCGTGTTGGCCTGGTGAGGCGCGCGAGGCGCGCGCGTGTGCGTGTGGCTGGTTGTCTAAGAAAAGGGGGGGGGTACAGGGGCTGCACTCGCGACGCGCGGCCCGAGCGGCCGCGGCCTGCAAAATGGGGATTGCGGTGGACAGCCACTCGATTCAAGGGGAGACAGCCGGGCCGGCCGCGCCCAGCCTCACAGGCGCGACGACGCAGCCGCCGCTGCGGCCGCGGCTGCCGCGTGAAGCGCAGCGCCAGCTGTGGCCGCACCCAGCGGGCGCGCCAGGGCGCGGGGCGCGGGGCGCAGGGGCGGCCGCTGGCAGGGGTGTGCAGCCGCAGCAGCGCGCGCATGCCGCGGCACAGAGAGGTCAACAAAAGCTTGCGCGCGCGCGCGCGCACACGCGGCGCATACGACGCAACCCGTCTTTGCGGCACGGAGGCCGCAGCCGAGCCTCTCGTGTCACCGCCTGCAGGGCCGGATTGCGGCCGCAAAACTGCCGCCCGCGTGCGGCCGGGTCGGCACAGATCAAAGGAGGAGGGGATTAGCGGCGCCGACGACGCCCGCGCCCCCACGAGCCGCGCGCTCACGCGGCCTCCCCCGCGCCGCCGCCGTCCGACGCCGCCCTCGGCCCCGGCTGCGGCTGCTGCTTCGCGGCGGTGGCCGCGAGGATCGCGTCCAAGGTTGGGATGATCTCGTGGAACCTCGGACGCTGCGAGGGGTCGGCCGCCCAGCAGTGCTGGGCGAGGGCGACGTAGCCCTCGGGGGTGCCGGGCGGGAAGCAGGGGCGGAGGCCGCCGCGCATGACCTTTTCGATGATCTGCTCTGTGCTGAGGCCGGGATAGGCGCGCTGGCCGCTGTAGAGCTGCAGCAGAGAGGAAGTGTGTTTGCAAGTGCATGTGTG